TCTCTCTCTCTCTCTCTCTCTCTCTCTCTCTCTCTCTCTCTCCTCTCCTCTCTCCCCCTTCTTCTCTCTCTCTCACTCACTTCTCTGCATGCCACGTTGGTAAAATTAGCCATGTTTTCGTTAGCGCTTACATTTATGCAGGATTGATTTTCAACAGTGGACGCGCTTTCCCAGAAAGCACGCCGGGAAAATAAGGAATTTGTGGCGTGGGGAAAGCTATTTCGGATGCGTAGGTGCGAATTTGTCTAACTCTCGATCGTTCTCGATTCCGCAGAGCAATTGTTGGACGCTAGTCTGGACGCGAGTTTCGGCGAGAATTGCAACGCGAACGAACCGCCGAAAGCGCACGAGAATGGCACCGACATCCTCCAGGAGGGCACCTTCAGTCCGTTCAGCGGTAGCCTCGAGGACCTCGTCAACACCTTCGACGAGAAGATCACGTCCTGCTTCCGCGATTACGGCACCGACGTCGAGTCGTTGGCACCGGTGCAGGTGCGAACGCAAGAGGAGATCATGAACGAGTGCCAGTGAGTGCCAATTCCTGTATCTTCTTTCTATCTTTCACCTTATTTCACTTCCACTTTCTTGACGGGAGAACACTCCTTTCGGTCTTACAAAGAAAGAAAGAAAGAAAATGTTTTATCAGCCTATATTGAAAAAAGAAAACAAATAGCTATCAAGTCACAAATAAAATATTTCATTTTTTATACTTATACAATTTTTTATAATTCCACGTAAGTAGGAATAACTCAATGAATTTGGAGAAATCGTAGGAAAATGTTCCTTCTCTCTTATAATTTAAAATAATGTTTGGTCACTTCAGATCTAGTTTGTTAAAATTAAAGCAAAGGTACCGATTCTTGGACACATACCTAATAACGTATTCTTATTACGTATTTGGTTTTTAAATACGAATATTTCAACTTTTAACATAGAATACATTTGCATATTTAATACTTGTACATATGTTTTATGTTGAAAATTTAAATATTTTCATCTAAATATTATATTTAAAGACTAAAACAAAAAAAGCTAGATACATGTCCGAGATTAGGTTCATGTCCGAGCACACTTAACTTAATTGGACTAATCGTGTTGAATGTGTCAACGCGATATTCCCCAACTATGCAATTGAGTCATCGCGTCTGATGTGTCTCCTAATATCTCTCGCACGTTTCACGCATGTATATATCAAGTCAAACAAGCGTCTATTAACAGAAATTAATATTATCAGTTCCAATAAGTTCGCCATGACGTCGGTCGATCGTCGAGAAATATATTCGTGTGCCCAGTACTTATCTGATTGCCGCAATTACCCCGCAATTATTAATCCCGCTGCGAAGTGGCAGCCTTGCTATATGGTTTTCGGCTCGCGCGCAACTACAACGACGTGTACCGGTTACCATCGCGCGGCGCATACCGGTTTCCCCGCGTATCGAAAGATAAATCACTATGCGTTCTGGCGACGGGCACGCTCGGCCTGAAGATTGCCGGGTAACCGCGAAGCTGCACAAAATCGCGGTTTACGGTTTTGCCGATCCCGGGGCTCTCGGCCGCTCCACGGAGCCCGCCCGAAACTGGTAATTGCTCCCTCGCGGAAATAATCACTTATCGCATTTGTGCCGTTATACACCCGGCCCGTCGTAACCCGCGTAATATGTAATCCGCGCACAATAACGGGCAGCAGAGTTCAGAAGTGCTTTTCGAAATTTGCGGTCTACGAGTAATCTATCGCGTTTCGATTACTGACCCGACGTTTCTCTCTCTCCCTCCCTCTCTCTCTCTCTCTCGCTCTCGTTCTCTCGTTCTCTCTCTTTCTCTCCCGCACCTCTCTTCCGCCGACGCCCGTCAGCGGTTTCACCTACTGCTCCGTTTAGTGCAGCGTCGAGGAGCGCGCGATGCAACCTGATTAAGGTTTCGAGCTATGCTAGAGCTATGTTGGCGACCACTACGAGCGAGCAATCGCAGGGCTCTCTCGTTACCAGCTCAAATCGAAGAATTTTCGGAACCGGCTCACTGAGAAGAGAAACTCGCGCGTTCGTGCCGCGTGAATTCGTTGCGCGCAGTCGAGAATCTTATCACGCACTTGACCATCGTGTCCAATCTCGCGGTCAAATTCCTCTTAATAACGCTTAATGACCGAGTCCTTTCGCGCACGAATTGCTCTTAATAATGCTTGAGAAGCGTGTCTTCTCGTCTATACACAGCTAATTGCATGATTCGACCGTTTCATGCTCGTAGAATAGAATAGACGTTAGCATCGACGGGGACTGTTGGAGCGAGTCGAGACCGGCGTCACCGATCTGTCTCTCGCGTGTCGGAGCGATATTTAAGCAAGGAGCAGAGTAATAACAAAAATGGAGTTTCTTCTTTTGTACACGCAAGCGACTCGATGGCAGCGATCGCGGTATCGATTCTCCGGGTGAAGAAGTGTGTCGGCACAGCCTAGGTGCCTCTCTCTCTATACGCGATGTTTACGGCACGCTTTGCAGCTTTCTCCTCGAAGCGGCCACAGCGTCGCTGCTCGGCGCTGCGGGAGGAACGAAAAGTGCGTCTTAATTGCAGGATCCGTGCGTTGACGCTTTGTTTTGTACGGCCCAATTGTCATCGAGGTCAATTGGTGTCGATTGATGACAGATCCTTCGTTCCTGCATCATTTTGCATCCGCGAAATATTAGTCGCCTGCAAGACGCACGAGATGTTAGCACAAACGAGTCACGAACGAGTTACGGATTTCGAGAAAAGGAAAGGAAACCGGATTAGAAAAGTATCAAATGTTTAGAGAACGGCTGTCTTTCGTTTTAATTTTTTTTTTATTTTATGATATTTTAGGACTTCAGATTCAGATCCGTATTAATAGTTGTTACTTGAAACTTGCCTTAGATAAGGTACTCAAATTTGAACTTAGGTCCGTATTGATAGTTATTATATTTGAAATCATGATTATAGATTATAGATATGAAGATCGCATAGATCATGTAATTTAAATATAAAACTTATATAGTTCTAAATCTGAGTATCTTGCATGAGACAATTTTCAGGTGACAACTGTTAATATTTAATGTTAGACGTGAATTTTTCAGCTGAATCACGATTATAAATGCAATGTCACATATATTATGTGATTCGAATAAAAATCAAATCCAGCTCTAAATTCTGATTTTAGTATCATGGAGACAAGTTTCAAGCGACGACTATTAATATATGGGTCTTAGTGTCGCGAAATGTAAAAAAGAACTAAGCACATTCATTTTTTTAGAATTTTAGTAACGATTCTTCTAGGTTATAACTTAATCTTCTATTTTATATATTAACATTAATGTGATGTAATCCGACAACAGCTTGTACTTAATCCCGGCCTTCTTCTACATTTCCGGCTGTCCTTTCTTCTTTATTCTTCGGCTGTGCCGTGGCATGCACGGAGCTCACGTATCTCCTAACAAGGCACGACGAGATCTTCCACAGCAACCTTGCCACGGTCATTTCTTTCGCGTGAAATCTGCTGACGCACGTATAAGCATGGTTCACGTAAGCTGAACGCATGAAACATAACATTTATGCAGCGGCGATCTCCAGGCGATTAGCGACACTCAGAGAGACAGAAGTCGAAGATCTTCGGCGCGAAGGAGATCCCAATACAAAAGGCACGTGTCTCGCGGCTCCGGAACAATTTTACGGATTTTTGACGATTGACGATCAAAAGGGTTGAGAAGGTTCACACGCCACGGACAACCGTGACAAATATTTTCGTCGCAGGGTGTAAATGACAGTCGCAACGCGTTCACGAGGCAAGGTTGCGCGCGTCCTAATGAGCGTGAGCGAGCAGGTGAAACTCAACGAAGCGCGAAATTGTCTCATCTTCTGCGCGCAGCCACGCACAGAGCCGTTAAATTCATATCGGGGCCCCACCGTCCGCCGCTATGCAGACACACTACGCGGTTTTCGATCGGTTCGTTGATTTTCTCCGCACCCTTCGAAGGTGCGCGTTGTCCCTGTTGCTGCGAGCCGTTTCGCTGGACTTTTCAGAGCTGATAAGGACAAGTCATCAGTGTTGCGCCGTAGATTTCAAAATTACGCGAATTGCTTACCTATTATCTACGTGATCAATACACGGCCCTTTTTTATGTAGAATTGTAAATTATACACAAAAAAGATGTATTTAAATTATGAAGCAGTTACCGTTATCTGCCCGGATATTAATTATAAGTGCACTGTTTAAATAAAAAGATAAATTGCATGAAGTTTTTATTTCATTATGTGACAGATTTGACTCTGAAAAAATAAAGAATGTAACCTCAGAGAATTCTGTGAAGTCTAACTTGTTTAAGAAACAACGTTTATAAATTTATCAGGATTCTAAAAGTTAGATAAAAATGTAAACTTTCCTTAGTTAATTTTAAAGCAATTAAGTTAATTTTAGTTAATTTTTTAGCAAGCTATACGTTCTTTAAACGACATTCATAGATTGTTCATTGTTTACATACATAAGTACGTGAATAAACTATGACACTTTATAGATCCAGCTCGATTTCCCAAAATAATTACGTGTTCTATTAAGAAGTATAATATTACAAACATGTGATTTTAAGTAGGAAAACCCAAAGTTTTTTCATTGTTTTTTTCTGATCTTCAGTTTATGTTAGGATGGAATAAAAACGTGTTGATTCTTCAAATAATTTTATTATTCATCAAAAATATTCAAAATGGTTTAAAAATATTATATTCTTTGATATTTTATCTTATTAAAACGATAGTTAGCATATAAATAAAATTCCTTGTTTGATACGATAAAAGTATACTGACACTACCAATTGAAAGAAAGCGCGAGTTCTCATAGTTTTTGTTTCCTAGACCGAGACCCCACACTTGAGACAAAAATGGAATTCCCTATTGATATCGTAAAGAGATAACCAATTTTTAGACAAACTCCGGAATTCTAATCAGGATAGAATCTATGATAATGTTGGGAGAATCTTTGGAATTTTCTGTGCGAGTTAAGGCTCCTAATCTCTCGCATGTCTATTTTTTTTTTTTTTAATAACGTCAGAAGCGAGAAAATGCATGCTAAAAATTTTTGCGAAATACGTTGAAATAAAAATATATATCCATAAAGTAACAATCGATTAGACAAATTTGTAAGATATTCTGTGCACTCCCCTTTTGCTCTAACAATAATCAATAATTTATTGTAAATTAACGTACATTGTAATTAACGTAAATTGTATTGATACAATTCACAGAGTTGCTACAGACCTGGAAAACCGGGAAAAGTCATGGAATTTAAATTTGTCATGGTAAACTAGGATATGTCAGGGAAAAATATGAGATAACCTGAAATTTTGGCCTTTCCTTAAAATTCTTTAAAATTAAGGTAATCCTGCCTGGGTTATAAGAGAAGAATATATGATCTCTAGACACTTACTAAATCTAGGGGATCACTATTTTATTAATATCAAGTTTTTTTTATTTTAACGTTAAAAATTTATAGATATAATATAGGAATTCAAATGTTATTTAAAAAATAAAT